AGAGTGAGTCTAAAATTAGAAGATTTATCTCGGATTGATGATGCGCACATATTGATTTATCTCCTGAGGTGCTTGGGACGAGCATCTTCCGATAGCACATAGGAATCGGTGTTGAATTCAAGTCTGCAAGGAGTGGCCGAAAAAATATTTATAAGTATATACGACATAGGTTAGGAAGAGGGAGTATTTGCTATAAATCCAATTTGTATTGGCTAAACAATTAATCGAATAAAAGAATTCTGAGGGAGAGTGTGATGCTCTCCTGAAGGTTCATGTTTTGTATGTTAGGGTATACTGTAAAAACTCGACTTTCAATTTCTGACAAACTCATTTTGAATGAGAATTATGTTTTAGTCAAGTATTTGTGTTTGCAGTTTATTTATTTATGTGAGCATTAGTTCCTTTATCTTACATTGTAGAGAATATAATTCGATGTATCGAACAGAAAGATTGTATTATCAGTTCCTTGTAAAATATAAATAAAATGATTCACAGCCTAGACAGAGTTAAACTATCTGTTGCGAAAGGCTGTAGTATAATTTTGATTTAGTTGATCTTTGGCTAATGAATTACGCCAGAACATCTTCGGTGTATTGAATGGACCGACGAAGTATAAGATTATTTTACACTGAAGAAGTAAATAATTAAGACCTCAACAATTGATGCATTCTCTTAACCCATAAGACGATAAACGGGCATATGTACTCAAAACTTAGTTATTTGATTTATCAAGGGTGATACCTATTTTGATTAGGTTGACATACTCAGTATTTTGGTGAATAATGTTGTTTACATGAAGTGTCGTTAAAAATTTTTACGGTCATTATGACTTGGCTCGACGAGTTGATGACATCCTCGAAATGAGCTGAGGAAGATTTATTATGTTAAGCTTTGCAGGCGGATTAATTTCCAACATAATAATTAAGAACTGAGTGGTACTATTTTCGGATAGGGATATTGATTAATTAAAATGTCAGTAATTTAATTAATTAATCGACCTTATATCTTAAATATAGGGAGGTAATTGGATTAATTAAATTAACGGGAACAAATTATTAGTAATTCGGAGCTAAATGAGGAGTACAATAATATTGCTCTAGTAGAATATTTTATTATTTAATCAGATAAGAAATAGGTGAGAGACATATGGTTTTCTAGAATTTAACAAGTTAAAGAACATGAAGTCTTCTAGATTGGAAGACATAAGGTCTTATAAAATATTAACAAGTTGAAAGACATAAGGACTTATAGAAGGTTAACAAATTTAAAGACATAAGGTCTTCTATTCCTATTCGAAAAAACCCATATTTAGCATTTCGTTAGGGTCCCTGATGTAGCCTATAAATACACCAAGTCCCACACCTCCTACACATAGTATTGCCATCCGATTTTTAGTCTTCAAAAGAGAGAAAAATCGAATATATATTAGGAGGTTTCGTGAGTTTTATTTAGTCGCACTACTAAGACTATTCGAAGTAGGTGTAAAGGTAATACATCAGAATATCGTACGGTATAACATTTTGAGTTCCCGACGAATATATTCACCACCAAGAACAACCACAATCAGCACTTGGCCACTCACGACAGCTCCCGGCGACGTCCTAGCTCCCAGGTCGCGACCGCGACGACCCGACATTGTATGAATTGTTTCCGCAACTGAGTGAACGTTCTTTGTTTACAATTTATAGTTTAAACGCAATTCTTTATCTCCCAAAAATTTCACTCCATATCTTCGATCATTGCAACAATGGTTCTCGCGAAATGAAGAGATGAACCATGATGGTTGACTGGACCATTTGGTAAGAGATGAAGAAGTAATGGTAATGCCGAAGATGCAACTAAATCATCTCAATGACCGTGCAACAAAATCCATGTCGAACAACGTACATGGTACTGTCCAAAAGCCTAAACTCTAATATCACTGACCCGTAATCCATGCTTGAATAACTTAAACCTAAAACACTATGAAATCACTCGACACAAAGTATACGAACTAAACTAAGTCTTAAAATAACTCTAAACAAAAATGTATAGAAATGACATAGGTTGGACCCCAAAATGAGAATCCATGTTACAAAAATTTGCAGTACAATATACAATCTCATAGATACCAGCCCAAATACAAGACACACCATCACAAACATTGTCCCATCATTTGCAGGCTAGGCTTGTAATCCTCATTTACCGACCAAAGCTGCTTGTGCTCGTAATCAGCCAAATCACCTCTAATCCCATCAACCTTCTTCCTATCATCATCATCATCATCATCAACAACAACATCACTATCTAAGCTTCTCTCTGCATCAGTCAGAAACTGCTGCCAAAATACGTCATTCGCCACTGGGCCCGCACCAGTTGCCCTCCGATCTGCACCCGACCCATCATCCACAGATGTATTCGCGACTGATTTATCGATGGCCTCAAAATCGATGCAGATGGACGATATCGGCGGGCTCTCGCACACGGGCCCCACAACACGATCTTCATTGCTATAATCACTATAATAGTCCTCATTAAAGTCGGGATTGGGAAAAGTCACGAGATCCATGTCTGCCGCCGCTCGGCGCCTCCTCTTGGATGGGTTTTTGGATCGCTGCTCAATTTCGTCCAGCGCCTGGGCCAACAATCTGATCTGCCTCTCGTACTCGCGATTCGCGTTCTTGTGCCTCTCGAGCTCCGACTCGAGCGACTGCTTCTCCTGCTTCAGACGATTGATGGTTGCGAGAAATTCACGCCTCTCCGGGTCGGTTAGTTGGGTCGGGTTCGGTTGGCCCGAGTGGCTGTGAACGGGCTTGCGCCGCCGTATGTTTCCCAGCAGATGTCTCTGCCCTCTCACGAATTCCTCGTTCGCAAACTCCCATTGCTCCGGATCCGACTTCCGGAACCCCTGTCCGTTGTCAAAATTATTATTATAATTGAACAATTTAGGAAATTGATTGAATTCGAGTACAAGAGAATTTATTATCAACTGCTCACATATGTATTGAGTTGTCGGATGAAGCTGGAGAAGTTGTTGTGCTTGAAATATTTGGGCAGCAAATCTGCGGCAAACTGAGGCGGGTTCCAGACGATGAAACTAAGGCCTGAGAGGCTCCAAGAAACGACGGCGTCGGTCGAAGGGTTATCAACCATTTCATACGTTTTCACAAGAAAAGGGGCCACGGAGTTCGAATTCCCCTTTGATCCCTCCATTATCAATCGATATGATTTCCTGAGTATAATTTGTATTTTGCTGCCCAAGCAAAGATGACAAAAATCGACCCTCCGTAGAATATTTATTGGAAACGAATATTTTTATCTATTCTGTGTCGTCAGCGCTTATGTAATTAAGCTTCAAGGACTAAAATTAAAATAACAGAGAAGTGGAGATTGGTCGTTCGTAGGGACGCACCAAAATCTTGGACAAGAAGAAACCAAAGACGGAGTGCATTATAAAATGAGAGAAACGGTCTAATGCTCGTAAATTGACCTTTGACTTGATTAGTAGCATTATTTAACTCTGGATAAAATAAAAACGCAAAAATGAGAAAAAAGGGGAGTAGGACTTGACTTTCATCGCGTTGTCAAAAAAAAAATTTACTGAAGAGGCTGAGAAATAGAAATGCAGGAAAGTGAAATTGTTATACTACCCTGTATTGTATTTTGTCTTTATTCATATTATTTTACCTTTTACAACTTTTTTCCTTTAAAAAATACAAATGGGATTGAATTTTCAAAGATGCTGTTCCCTGTTGGTAGAGGGTTGGTTCAACTTTGGTAAATCGATGACCGTAGACCAGTCAAGACTCGAGCAAATTTGGCGTCTCAATAGTAACAGACTAACAGTGAAAATGAGGAGTTTGAATAAAATGGCGATACAGCAGGGCTGGGATATGTTCTGTGTTGATGGCAAGGAGCTCCCTGTACAGCTGAACAAAAGGCTCAAGTTTGACTCCTGTTTTAATGTGGTGGCAGCGAACATTTATGATTTGTTAAATTCATGTTGTTCTTGCACTTTTGTTCATTTTGCTTATGTTAGCAGGTCGAGTTCCTTGTTAGCCAAGTGTGCTATTGTAGGGAATCGGATGTCTCAATTTCTCATTTGATTCATTCTCCTTTTACTTGGTATTTGGGAAAAGATTTTTTTATAATCACTTGATTTTTTTTTCCCAAAACGATAGAGATATTATATAACTAAAAACTGTACAAAGTGCAAAGAGAAAACAACCAAAAGTTGAAAAGTACAACCAAAGGCTGAAAAAAGACTGTGAGGACAGATCCGAAGATCGCCTAGAGCCTAACCTAGCAACGGTAAAATAGCATACTCGCATGAGTTGGTACAATGCGGAGATTACTAAATCTCCGAAACCGTACTGAAATTTGAAGATCACTAAAGTTCAATCTTCGGAAATCGTACCAAAAATCGGTTTGATTTGAAGATTTTTATTTTTCAGTACGGTTCGATTCGATATGCGAGACTTGTGGATATGCGAAATTTGATCAACACATAATATTTTTGGAATTTTTTTGTATGAAGGATTGTGGTAACGCAAAACACTTCGATCGGCTTGAAATCGGGTTGTCTTCCTCCTCCTCGCCGGTAGAACGTCGCATACCTACAAAGAACTCTCACACCGGAGGGATATTCCGGTGAAGAGCCTATGATGCTTAAGTCAGTATGTGTTTCACTCAATTCTCAAGAGTAATAAATGGATAAATCGTGTCTAACAAGAAAGGCTCACTCCTATATATATAGGAGTGAGATACCTACCCTAGGAGCTGCCCGGATTTGGTGAGCTATCTGCCCAACACTGCCCGGATCTGCCCGTCCGTACACACACAGTGTGTGTGTGTCAGAAGTGGTTATCGCCACTATCGCTCTGCACCAATATATTCTCGCCACGTGCCCTCTGCGCAGAGGGTAATTATTCCCTTGAATATTCCTTGGGAATTCCTGAAGAAGTCCACGCGCTTCCTCACGTTCACATCACGCTCTCGAATGCTCTTCACTCGCTGGGTGGTCGATCGGATGAGCTCTCCTTTAGTAGGTCGATCTTCGACCAGATCTGCTACGGTGTTCGACCACTTCCTTTCAGTCTGCTATTGCTCGACCAACGTGACATTTTCAACCTTGGACTCGTATGACCGGCATAGTGGACCGGTTTCTTCCTTATATAGTATCCTATATCAGATTGTGTATGAAGAATTGAAGAAAATTGTCTCTCTATTCTCTGTACATTTTTTTTCTTAATTTTTCAGATAGAGATCAGATGAGGGAAAGAGAAAGGTCCCAACGCCGCCTTCCTTT